CATAGGCTGTATATTATTCCGTTAAACATTCATATAAATTAAAATATATAATCTAGGTTAAGGCTTTTATGTCCAACAGATGGCGCTACGAGTACAATGCCCTAAGTTTGCTTTTCTGTGAGGCATTATGCTTTTCTGTGAAAATGAACTAAAGCAGATCATCTTTTATCTATCTATATAAATAAAAATGTAATGTTCGTTTGTTCCTACCGATTCCTTTGAAATTTTGACACAACGCTGCATTCGAATACGCACATGTTTTTATATAATATACATGTCGAAATTCCCCCCACTGAAGGGAGATGGTTAAGATTAAGGCTTACCGTAAAGAACATTGCTTCTATTTATACTATTTTAGATGCGGTTTTTTGCGTTTTTGATTGCGTTTTAATAAGGTACGTCAAGAGAATGTACACTAAGAAGGGATTTTTCGAAAACTTCCCCCCCTTCATGGGGGAATTGTTATACATTTATAATAGATACATTTTGAGCCACAACAACACATGGCGGGGTCTGCTAGTATTTATATATTTATGTAAGAGTATGAAAACAGTTTTATTATATGCCATATTTTTTGTCTTATAAGTTGCATTGTTGTATTAACACATCACATTTTTCCTGTTGATTTTTTGGAGAAAAACATATTCTTTATAGTATAAAATACATCCTAATTTTCAGATAAATTTTAGTTACAAAATAAGTGCATGTTATTAGATGAAAAATACAGTCTATATTTGTAAATCTTAAATATCCAAATGATTTTAATTGTTAATGTTATCAATATATTCAGATGATATAGACGAAGATAATTAATATATAATTTTGTTTATAAAACGTTTACTCAAAACATTCTTGAATGTTTTGCATAATTTTAGTCTTGAATAAAATTAAATAGAATTTATTAGAATCAAATATGTTTATTAATAGTTTTCACACATACTTTTNAATGGTTTTTAGTAGGTCTGCTGCTCGTTTAAACTCAACGGTTTGTGCAATATCCACTATTGGTCTAGATTCGACCAATCCTGTCGTGACACGAGTCGGCGATGATGTTTTACCAAATTATACAAGTCTCTTTTAGCGTGTTTATACAAATACGGTCGCAATTTTTTTGCCGTTATATACGAATCTGAGTTATATGAACCTGTTTTATAGGGGGTCTACTGTATTCCATAATGTATGTATATAAAATTAGAAGTGTTTAAAAACAAATAGATCAGATTTCATATATATATATACTAATGTAGTTATAAAATAATAAGATTGATGCTATAACTTAATCATTATTTCAAAACTTACATTTTACCTGTGTTTCACTTCAATCTTGGCCACTATTTCACTGACAATATCAAATGCATTGGTGCATTGTCATGATGAAGGATAAAACTGTTTTGCTACAAGCTACTTTCTGCTGACCCTTTTACATAAAGTTTCTAGAATATGTCTGTATTAGTGTTAGTTCATTGTTGTGTCTTCTGGACCTAGTGTTCCAAAATTATGCCTGTAATAGCAAACAACACAACCAACAAACTTGGCTGTGAATTTGGACTTGCTTTGCCACACTTTCTTTGATCCTAAACAGCACTTGAACCTGCAACTGCATTGCTAGTTATGCTGCTTGGACCTCTGTCTAAATTTTGTTTTCAGACCAATTTATTTCAATATTATCATAGTGGTCACTCATCTATTTGTATTTATCTATACTAATATTATAAAGAGGTAATGTTTGTAAGTAAGTTCGGATGTAGCAGGTAATCTCCGAAACTACTCATCTGATTTCAAAAATTCTTTCACCAATATTTAGAATGGAACCTCAGGGTGGTTGTCTACCAAGAATTATTTTTTGGATTACAAGGATGCTACACACAATTTGAACATNGCCCTAAGTTTGCTTTTCTGTGAGGCATTATGCTTTTCTGTGAAAATGAACTAAAGCAGATCATCTTTTATCTATCTATATAAATAAAAATGTAATGTTCGTTTGTTCCTACCGATTCCTTTGAAATTTTGACACAACGCTGCATTCGAATACGCACATGTTTTTATATAATATACATGTCGAAATTCCCCCCACTGAAGGGAGATGGTTAAGATTAAGGCTTACCGTAAAGAACATTGCTTCTATTTATACTATTTTAGATGCGGTTTTTTGCGTTTTTGATTGCGTTTTAATAAGGTACGTCAAGAGAATGTACACTAAGAAGGGATTTTTCGAAAACTTCCCCCCCTTCATGGGGGAATTGTTATACATTTATAATAGATACATTTTGAGCCACAACAACACATGGCGGGGTCTGCTAGTATTTATATATTTATGTAAGAGTATGAAAACAGTTTTATTATATGCCATATTTTTTGTCTTATAAGTTGCATTGTTGTATTAACACATCACATTTTTCCTGTTGATTTTTTGGAGAAAAACATATTCTTTATAGTATAAAATACATCCTAATTTTCAGATAAATTTTAGTTACAAAATAAGTGCATGTTATTAGATGAAAAATACAGTCTATATTTGTAAATCTTAAATATCCAAATGATTTTAATTGTTAATGTTATCAATATATTCAGATGATATAGACGAAGATAATTAATATATAATTTTGTTTATAAAACGTTTACTCAAAACATTCTTGAATGTTTTGCATAATTTTAGTCTTGAATAAAATTAAATAGAATTTATTAGAATCAAATATGTTTATTAATAGTTTTCACACATACTTTTTTTTTTTTTTAACAATTTGAATGTTATAAAGTGAAAAACATTTGTATAATAACTACTAGATTTTATAAGGCAGTATTTATTATTTTTTAAAATAATTTTAAACTAGTTTTATTAAGATTTGTGTGTCAGATTGTTGTTTATTTTGAATATTGTCTACTTTTCTTAAAAAATATTGAACTAAATAAAAAGCTTTCTTCCTAATACAATATTAGGTGCACATATCTAATAATTGTTTGTAATGAATTTATATAATTTAAATAGTTTTGTAAAAATATTTATTTATTTTAGTAAAAAAATATATGATTAAAAAATTAAGTTTTGTGTTATAATATATATATTATAAAAAACACAAAACATATATATATGAGTTGCTTTAATTTTTCTTTTTCTTTTTTAGAATGGAATACTATTTTTGCTACGAGGAAAGAGGATAAAAGTTAATTTATCAACATGGTTTTAGATTTTGATGTGAAAACATTTTGCCAAAATTTGAGGGCTACAAAGCCTCCTTATGAATGTCCAGTTAAAGGGTGTGGAAGAATTTATAAAAGTTTTTGTGGTATTCAATTTCATCTTTATAATTATGATCATGACAATCCCACAAACAATAATACCAATCATAATAATAACAACAACAATAATAATAATAATACCCCAAATAGTAATTCTAATAACAATAATGGTTCAAATGTTCCGAAGTGTGGTCGTAAGAAAGGACGATGGCATCATCGCCAAAATCGAAGATCGCCTTCACCTCCAGAATTTATGAAGAATGCAAGAGAAGGACTTACGTATGCTGAAGCTCAAAGAATGGTGGAAGTAGATCTGGATGGTCGCATACATAGAATTAATATTTGTGAACCGTTAGATGTAGTAATGTTGGAATCCTCGGAATGTGAAGTGAAAAATTTTGATAAAATTGAAGAAAAAGCAGATAAACCACCTCAAAAGAGTAGTAAACATTCTGAACATTCAAAAAATCGAAAAGATGGAAGTGGAAATATTTTAAAACTGCCTGAAGCTTCATTTAGAATAATTTCGGATTATAATCCTCCTGATGCTCCACCTAGACCAACATCTTATTATAGGTTTATTGAAAAATCTGTAGAAGAGTTAGATGAAGAAGTGGAATATGATATGGATGAAGAGGTTTGTATTTTATAAATTAATTTTATTTACTTATATAAAGTGTTTTTTTTTTGTTTTTAAATATCAAAATGAAAGAATACAATTTTTTATGGTAATAAATATAAATTTGCTCGAAATAGTGACTATTGAAAGATATGTATTCAATTAAAAAAAAAATGAAATAAAACTTATTGTTTTTCATTTAGTATACTTCTATGTTATGTTAATCTTTTTCAGACTGTTAAATTGTGAAAATATAATTGTGAATTCAATGATTTTGGTAATCTATTCTAAGATCTCAAAAATTAAAATGTTTGCTGCAGAATCAGGTTACATCCTTCTCTAAAAGAATCCTTCCTAATTCCAATGCAAATATTATTATCATGCAGAATATTAAATAAATAAATATAAAACATGATAACCTTCAATGGTTTTAAACCATTATTTTATTTTTTTTACACCAAAATATTATTTAAAATGGTAAGTGTACAGGCACTGTCCAAGACATTTATATTTGGGTTTCTGATTTGCTTATTTGACATAAAATCATGCTTATTTATATAGTCCAATTAATGGTGATTGTAAGCCTATCATAAAATGAATATTTATCATGTAATGAATCTTATTTTATTATGGAGATTCCATTGTAAAGTGATTTGATTATAAGCTGAACCAATTATAAAGCACAAGATCACTGTATTCTTATTTGCTATTTTTGATATACTGGTATGATTTTAGAATATTTTAAATATTGTTTTATGTTTTAAATAAATTAAAATAATTTATTTAGATTACGAACAATTACTTATTGTGACATTGTCACTATACTGGATTGCAATTTTTAATCATATTTTAATTTAAAAATAAGCTTTCCATATATGGTAAAAATAGAAATTGTGAAAATGGAAATTCAGACACTCGTGAATCTTTAAAAACAGCAAAAACGACACTATCTGTTATATTCTGTTTTTGCTAAGTTGAATTTGTATTCTATCTGAAGATGGTCTTTAAATATGACTGAAAACATTCATAATTAAATTGTTTTTGTTATTTTTAAACAAATTAAATGTTCAACTAAAATAAGTAAGACAAAACTTTTCACACTTTGTTTCTAGCAGTTTAATCACTAAGTACAAACATTTTTGGCCATTTTGAATGCCGCCTTTAGGTACAATCAATTTTGGCCATTCAAAATGGATGAAATTGTACCTGTGTGAAAGGTTTTGTGTTACTTATTTTAAGTAGTTCTAGCTTTGAATGCATAGAAGTTTGACTAAAAGCTGAAATTTTTGCTAAATTATACAAACACACTTTTCATATGTTTTCAGCACTCAGTTAATACTTCAAACAAAAACATTTGTTTGATGTATTAAATGAATGCTGGGAATATATGAAAAGTGTGTGTACCAGTAGCGTAGTGTAGTGGGGGTGGCAAAATTACGTTTTAGGGGCAGCAAAATTTCACAATAAATAACAATATCTTGTAAGAATTTGAACCATTTTATTTCATATCTTCGTCCACCTACGATTCGGATCGATTGAAATGAGCACAGAATAGTGTTACCATCCGGACATACCATCCGAGAATCGACTCACCGTCCGAGGATACCGTGCGCAACCTGTTGACGTTTTTTTTATTTTTTGCTTGTATGATTTATTCGTATATATACACCTCCAATATCCAATAGAGCTAGGTCACTCATGTTACTCCTACCCAAGTCTCCCTAGTTGCTAACTGTAACTGATTTAGAACCAGTATGCACTGCACATTATTCTTCGCATTGAAAAATGACATTCCGTCAGGAACTTCTGTTCGAACAAACCTCACCTGTCGTTTGGGTCAGCGATTTTAAAAAGGTGGCAACACTAGCACGGAATTTTTCATTACATATTCTGTGACGAAACTGAATTTTAGTCTTTTAAATTGAGATACCTAAATAAGGGGGGCGAAATTTTCCTCTGCCCCGGCCGGCTGACACCCACGCTACGCCACTGGTGTGTACTTTAATTTTCAACAGTGTTTAAACATTCATGAGTGGTCTGAATTTTCATATCTGGTATTTGGTCTGGAGTTCAGCTATAATGTTAATACAAACTCTGGACTAGATAGTAGTTTATATATAGTTAATCATGTGAAGTCCAAAACCTCCTCACTTGTATGTGTGTTGTTGTGCTCTTTCTCTGTAAAAAACTGTAAAAAGTTATAAACGATAATTTGTTTGTGTCAAACTCTAAGTGAGAGAGAGAGTGTCATTGTGAGAAAATAAATCAGGAAATTTGGCCAATGAAGAAGTTGAAATTTGTAAACAAGCAATTTTGAATTTAAATGCACAAAGGAGGAAACATCAAGTGGGATCAATTTGCCAGAGATGCCCTGACTTCTGAGTGGAAAAACATCATCATCTATAATTAAGGGCTATCATCCTGGGGAGTTTGCAAGTAAACATTGAAGAAAGTGGTAGTCCCAGCATGGAGATGAAGGGAAACATCCATTCTTTCCAACCAGAATTCTGCCCATGGCAACAGAAGAGGAGTCAATAAGAAGTAGGAAGAGGTCAGTTCAGGACCAGTCAAAATCAACAATTTGAATGAGATCAACCATCTTCACTTCGTCTACTTCACCACAGTGAGAGATCAACTAATTCCCTTTTGTCAATTTTACCCCAATGGGCACTCAACCAACGTTTTACTAACTCAACTTCCACCTGGACTCGAACCATTTCGAATGACAAGACATACCGTATATATAAATTGTAATCCATTTTCAATCAAAATAAATGTAGTTGTTTTTGGATCTTTGTGTACATCTCTGTGTCTTCCATCATTACCCCCTTATGTCTACATCTTCTTGTGTCATCCTCACAAAAGCATGAAAGCAGTAAGTAACCCTGCTTTCAAACTTATTGTAGGGGTCCAAGAAGGCATCATGTATTTGCTCATAGTCAGGGCCTCTGGTCCCTAAACTTTCCGTATCTGGTCTTGATTTTCATCTAACTAACTTCATTCTGGAGATTAAGGATGGACAGATGAACAATAGTGGGAATGAATAGTAGTTCAAAAGACCACCAAAACTGTCTGCAATTTAAATATTACAGACAGTGAATGATGGCTAGCAGACTATTAAGTCTATGAAGTAATGCTTAAGTGATAAGTTGTCTTCTATGTTGAAGAACTTAGGAATAGGGAGTCTGGATGAAAATTTGATATGCCAGAGAGCATGTTTATGCTGGTTGTAGCACCAGCATAAACAGGCTATTTTTGCATACAATTCAGTGGATTTCAGAAAGGAAGACATTCAGATGTTGACCAAAAAGTTCTAGAATTTGTGAAAGAAGAGGAAACAACACTGCTTGTGACTTATAACCTAATGTGAAAGAAAGGGAATGAAGTTGCACATGCGTTGAATAGACTGCAGAAAACCTTTAAAACCTTTAAAACAAGGACAAGTTTCCACCAGTATGTGGAGAAGAGAAACCACACTAAAACAGTGTTAAAGTCACATATTTTAATAAAAATTGCAAGTATTTTCAATGACTTAGTCATCGTCATCAGGCAATAAAATTTGTAAAGTACTATTTTATTTTTCCGACTTTTCCAACGATTATCGACACGTCTGTGTGCCGGAAATAGCCGTTCCCTAACGGGTATTTTATTTGGATTCGCGTTAGTGTGCCAGGCCTGGAGTTTTAGCGTGCACTGAAATTAAATAATGACAAAGTTTGTCAATAACAAATCAAATATTTAATTAATTTCTAGTAGTAAACTATTTACAAAATTTAGTAAAAATTCAAATAACAATTTATTCAATGAAAGTCAATAAGAATCAACCCGACAAAACTCAAATCAATCTATTTTCTAACTTAATTCTATTCCCCTTTGGAATTCGACAAAATCAAAGACTTAATTTATGTACAATAATTCTTATGAATTAAAGATCCTAATCGTCACCTCAATATACTAGGAACCTATTTCCTCAACTCTCAAGACTTTCTCTATTTGTGGATCCACAAATCGAATAACTTCAAAATTGCCTTGGAACTATTTGATCCTATCGGATACCTCTCTCGTTCACTGCTACAAAGCTCACCAAGCTCGTTGCTATCAGAAGCTCACCTCGTCCATCTTCACTTGAGGTTCAGTCTTTATACTGTGAGGTGACGTCATAATTCTGAATGCGATCACTCCCCTCATTTACATACTTATTCGCTAACACTAAACTTTTCTATTTGTCTGGCAGCCTAGTTTTCTGACAATACTCGCTAATCTTTTACATTATTCTTTTGACAATTTTGGGGGTGTTTTTTATTCTTTAAGGTTTATCGAGTCCCTAAGTTGTGCTTGTGGGGTCTCCCCCCTTTTCTCGGTGAGGACCTACTTTTTCCGCTCGGGAGTGCAAGTGTGCGCGAGTTTTTCCTACGGCGCTTTCCTCTCATTGGTGAGTTGGTTTCTCTTCTATTTTTTTAAGTTTCTAAGGTGAATGGTGAGGAAACCTTCGTCCTAACAAAACATAAGCCCCAAACAAAAATATAATAAAAAGCAAAAGTAAATAAAAATAATGCTCGGACTTGGTTCCTTACAAATTGAATGCAATTTCTAAACTTAAGAATAGAACAAAACGTACAAAGGCACTTGGCTGATTTACCAAATATTGTTAAAATTAAAACAAACTAATAAAATAAGAAATATACAAAATTGTCAACAAAAATGGAAATCCCCAAGTATAAAATTTTTGTGTGAGCATCTACGGGACAAATTTGTATTATATCATTGTCTACATTCGACTAAGTATATTAATAGGACTTATTATACTGGTGTTGTTTCAGTTTTTGCAATTAGAGATGATCTTATTCAGAAAAACAAAATCTTTATTTTTTAACTGTGTACACTGTTTTTGTGTTTTGGACTTTAAGGCCTTTCTTCAGCTGGTTTACAATAATAAGAATCTATAATAAAAATTTTTAAAACATCATAATAATTTTATACCAAACAATAATGTGTAAAATTTATTAAATTTCTAACAT